GAGTGAGAACCATTCTTTTTTCTAGTAGCTTTAATAAACATTTTTTTATATTATTTTAATTACTAAACATTTTTAAATTAAAAAAATCATGCATTACTGTATTCAAGAAGCACTTTGCTGTGCTCTAATAATATCTCCTCATGTGTTTTTATTATGTTTTTATTATATAGTCTATTTTTATTTCTTCCATTAGTTCTACTCCATAGTAACCATCTGTTCAAGAATTTGACTGTCTCCTTCCTTCAATCTACTGTACTTGTTAGGTGGCCAGAGAGTTTGTTTTGCCGGATCACTTTCTTAGAGTTGAGCTTAAGGCTCAACAGAAAGAGAGGGAGACACAGTGAGATTGCTTCTCCTCTGTGGGCCAGCAAATGACTCCATCTTGCTTTAGAACTGGCAGGGAGTGGTGGGTGGGAGAGTGTAATTTCAGAATCAAGTAGAACGGGATTATCTTCTTACTTTGCCATTTCTTTTTCAATGGGGACAGTTGGGCCCTCCCACATCTGACCTCCTGGGGGGCGAGACACCTCCTCTGCTGCTTAGAAGCCTCCTGCAGTGAGTCAGCTTAGCTCCCTTCTGGAATGGGCTGGCTGCTCATCACTTTGGGCTTTTCTAGAGTCTTGACCTTTGGCCCACAGAGGCCAGCTGACCCCTGAGTTTGGCTCCTGCGCAGGACTGAGCTTGCATCTCCATCACAGCCGACAGCCTCTGGCTGCACCCACATCCCAGCTCTCCACACTGCCAATTTCAGTCTCTTGATGGGTTGGCTCAACTCTACTCATGGTCACAAGGTAAGTGAAGAGGATTTGTCCCCCCAGTAAAGCCCTTTTTGAGAGCAAGTAAACATTTCGGATTACCTCTCCTCCCTCCTTACTCCTTATATCTCTTTGGTAATAACTTCATTTGTAAAGCAGTCATGTTATTTGGGTTGTATAGCTTGTTTATAAATGTAGACAAATAGCTTGAAGTTCGATAAAGAAGGGAAAAGCTGAATGACTGTTCCTGTTAAATGGCAATGTGTTGGGCTGGATTTCTTTGAAGTGGCACTTAATAATCACACTTGGGCAGAGAGGATTAAAGCAAGCCTAACAGGTGTGCCCACCTGAACGCCTTCTATATGGACAGTCTTGATTTCTCTCTTTCTTTCCTGTATTACTGGCAGTATACAGATCACATGTAATTATGTTAAAACATCCTTATGGGTAATTTTAACCTTTTGTAGCTGACATGACTTTTAAACAACGTCTTATTCTTTTAGTACCTCTTCACACCCATCATCTCTTCCCTACCCACGTAATGGAATGTGTTCAGTATCAAATGATGGAGACCAACTTCAAGCGGATCAAGTAAAAGGAGGTTTTACTCTCTCTGGCTACCCAGGAGGTCCAGGGAGTCAGGTGGCAGCATTAGGAATGTTTCTCAATACTTTGATCTCTTTTGAGTTGAATTCCCAATGAGGCAGGTTATTCCTGAGCAAAGGCAGGAAGCTTACCTTACCCCACTGCAGGTCAGCTCAGAGGAAGGCTCCCACATAACCCCTGCAAGGATGTGGATGGGACTTGCAAATCAGTAGCTGTGGTTGGCCTGCACCCTGGATCCCAGGAAAGGATACAGAGCAGGAGCAGCAGCAGGCAAAGAAAAAGGAACTTAATACCTTACGCAATCCTAATATTATAACTTCACAGATCTTAATAATTTTCATAAGTAAAAGGCCCCGAGTAATGGCAAGATTCCCATTCCTGAAAAGAGAGTGAGAAGAAGCTCTGGGCCAAATGGCCGCACTGCTTGGAAAGTGTTGTCTCATCAAGATCCACCTCTCCACCTGCTTCCACCAGCCAAGAAAGCTCTGTTGCCACTTGAAGTATTCTTTCAAGAGGGACACTGTGTTCTTAGGCAACCCCAGCATGTGATTTAACCAGGTTGGATCTGTGTTACAAGTGAATGGACTCTGGGAATTTATTGCAACCACTACCGTATCTGAATTGCTTTCTCTGCTGGGTACCCCCCCCCCCCAATCGATTGCTCACATGCTGCCAATCAGCTTCTCCCAGAAACGTCAGCAAAGCTCTATGGTGGGCGCATCCTTGAACCATCCCTTTCATTCTCACATACTCCTTACTTGCTTTTAGCACTGAATTGCTCTTAGAAAATTTAAAGCATTTTTCTGGTTCTGTAAGAAATACCTTTGAATGAAGAGGAGAATGCAGTAAAATTATAAAGATGATTAAAGCTTTTTAGCAGGCATTTGCTACCAAGGAGATGAAATGAAACCTTTAATTACTGAGAGACATATAAAGAGCAATCGGCACTAGGCATTTCTTTGCCAAGTGTCTAATGGTTTAGTTTTTCCCATGAAGAAACTTGATATTATTTTTTCTTTTTGGTCTACTTATAAAGTTATTAGTTATTACCATAAGGTATTTGAATTTTTTGTTGTCGTTTTAACCACCTGTTTTTATCATTTCATTAGCTGAACAAAATCTACCAACTGACTTTACTGAAGATTTGAATGTTGCATAATTGCTGTGGCATAATGTCACTGAAATTCATTCAGGATTTAGTTTTTCATTATCTCCCAAGCAAGAAAATCAGGATTGAATTCTATTTCTAAAAATACCTTGAATACCAAAAAAAAAAAAAAAAAAAAAAAAAGTAATTTGAAGACCATCTTGGATAAGTTTCTTTCCAATCTTATTTTTGATTTTTGTGTGTATATGTGTCTCACTGCCATAGTATCTTTCTACTATCTTTTGAAGTATGATCACTTTTCAAATACTTTCCTTCACATGCCCCCCTGGGAGAAGACAACATATTAGTAAATAGCCATATGCTGAGTACTTAGGGAATCTCACTTAGTTCTCTGACTCTGGGGGACTGAACATGGAAAGAATGTCAACAGTTCTCCCAGTATCGTTGGGGTTTCTAACCTAGCTCCATCACATTTCAGGGTACAGGTGCTGCTGACACACATGGCCGCTTCTCACACAGTCTCAGGGAGTAGCCTGACCTTTTGGGCTGCTTGCTAGTTTGAGTGAGCAGCTTAATAAACAAACAAACTCACAAGCACAGAGAAGCCGGTCCAGTTGCTGGCCACAGCTTTCATCTTATCTTCCACTTCTCAGTTACCCCTTGGTTGCTGAAATTTTTTGACTCAGGGCACAGTTAATCCTTCTGGAGGAACTTTTTGCAACATTCTTGATTGCAGTTTCTTTGAACTTGAGTCCAAATTTTAGTTTTCAAGAAAATTGAGGCAGATGGGTGTTTTCTTTGTAGAAAAATGAGTGTCTTGATGATATATTTGTGTTTCTTAGGTTTCTGTCATTACCGTTGACGCTTGGGGGCTTATTGTTGGCTCTTGTGTGGAAAAGAAAGTTATTACTCACAGTCTACCAGATTTTAGCATACTCGCATCACAACATGGAATATCATTTTATACTTATGGCAGTTCCAGGCCATTATCAGAATGCATTTTCATATTGAATTACAAGCAAAAATTTTATGCTACTAACATTTAATGAAATTTTAATAAGGTTGTGTTTTGAAGCTATTATTCAAATAATGTGGTTTGAATTGCTTCCCTTTGAACATGTTTGCATTAAAGAACTCAATATATTTGGCTCTTTGAAGAGTTTATCCAATTTTGGGGTAGCTATAAAAAGACAAAGAGAGAAATTCAGCTTCTTTAAAAGTCAGTAAACAGAACAGGAACACATTTGCTAAGATCTCTAGAACAGTGGCAGCAGATTGCTGATGGTTTGAGCTAATGAAATGACTCCTTTTGGTTATTAGAGTTGTACAATTAAAATAATATATACAGAGTGCACACACCACAGATTATGAGGGATGATGCCCGCTTATCTTTCTTATTTTATTGAGCCCTGAGGCTAATATCTTAAGAATTAAGAAATGTTGGAGATTCACATTATTGCAGTTCTTGATCAGTGATGCCCAAAATTAAATGGCAGTCTCTTGAGAGAGCACATTTCTGTTTGTAGCTTTCTTAACCCATTTGTGCTAAAATCGTGGTTCTGGGCCCAAGGCAGTTACATAAGATGCGCTTCCCAAAAGATCAACTCTTTTGAACATGCAAAAACATGCTGTGTGGATTGGTCTTACTTTGATGGAATTGCAAGGCTTAAAATATAAATGCTGACATAGTGCAAGTACTGCTTGGGAGGAAAGTCCTCCCTTACCAAACGTGTTTTTAATCGGCGCTTAGGAGCATTAAAATAACCCTTGGTGAGTGGTTACGCGGGGGGTTAAACTTGAGTGAGGGGCTTGGGGAAGGCAAAGCAAACTTGGGACTCCTCTGGGTTTTTAATTTATGTTCGGCTTTGTGTATAAATAAATGCTTTTGCACTTCCACTTTCAAGCACCTGCCGGCCTGTTCACCCGATTTTCCTCCCACATTCATTAGTTACCTCTATCTAGAAACAGCCCCCATTTCAAGTCTCAATATTTCTTGAGCATCGCCTAGATGCTGTGTGGTTCTGAACTGCGCAGCACGCTTGAGTACAGCGCTTGTTCTCTATTGGTATGTTTTAATACTGAAGATACTTTCACTGCATGAAAACCGGAACCCGAATCCCCAAGACAGGGCTGATAACCCGGCTTCTGTCCACGACTGCGCAGCGGCCGAGCCCGCCCCGGGACGCATGCGCACCTCCGTGACGTCACGCGCAGACTCCGCCCAGGCCGCGCGCCGGCTCTGACGCCACACGCCTCTGGCCCCGCCCATAGCCGCCCTGGCGTGCCCGCACGGACCCACAATCCCCGAGGCGCGCTGCTCTCCCGCCGCCGGTTACGGCGAGCACCGGGCCCGCCAGG